ATATGCTGTGGCATCTTCACTTACGCTTGTTTGCAAAGATGTAACTTTATTCACCGGTACACAGCTGTCAGAATTTGACTGATTCACTCATAAACGTCGGATACGTGCTAGTTAATCACAGTGCTCCATCATACTGAATACAAATCACTGCGAGAAACCATGTCTTTATTATAGCCTACACGCCAGCAGATTGTAGACCTATCCTGTCGTTGTACTTTGACTTTTCTGATGACTTTATGGTACGAGCGTTACGTTATTATAGAAGTGTTTCAGTAAGAATATGCGCAAAGATCGGCGAGTGACCACTGTCACATCCCCTATTCATAGCAAAGTTATATTTTACCTTGATGAGAATTAATAAATTGGTCTGCATTCATTGACCGACCTGCTAGATAAATTGACCAGGGCCTGGCGACATTTCGCTTTCCCTATACTGTTGTTTTATCTGCAGTTCTAATATGAAATTTCTCACACAGGGAGATGCAACACTTTAATAAATATCCTAACATTCTTGATTGTGCTCGAAGAACAGATAAAAAGTAACTAACCTGAATTCCTAGTATAATGGTTGATTACTCGACCTGGACCTTTAATCTATACTATGAAACTTGAAATGTAATAATCTTCGTCTGTACCCCACTTAGAGTTACTGGAGGTCCAAGGCCCGGATAAACGAGGAGGGTTGGATATGGGGTCAGTAATCCTATTCCAAAGAAAACAACAATTTGAAGCGCTTGGACTCCGCTCCAGGAATTGAAGGATCGTTTTCAGATAGATTATTACACTTAAAACCATGGTTATTTCGGAGTCAAGACACCGATATCCCTTCTGATAGCCAGGTTAGTGACCAATAGGAGTAAACTGAAGGAATGAAAAGTGCTGCGAACTGTGAAGATCAGTCAAAAAGTTGTGGAAATGAGGAGATAAAACATGGCAGTCCTCAGTATGAGTGAAACCTGCTGGACCTAAGCTGTAGAGAAATGTGGATATTAAAAGGAAAGCGCTGTTGTACTCTAGTCATGGAGAAGAGCTTGCGGTACACACACAGGAATTAGTACTGATGCTATCTAAAGAAACACGAAAAGCACCCATAAAACGGAAATCTCCTGATTGCTGAATCATGAAAGCATCCTCAAAAACAAAAGAGAGCATCACAACGAATGTTGTTCGGTGCCATGCACCCACCAATGATAGCAATAAAGGTGATAAAGATTAGTTTTATGAAAATCTGCAGTCGATCATAGGGAGGTACCCAGGAAAGGACTTGAGATCCTTTATGGACAACACCGGGTGTCTAGATGTCGTGGGACAACATAGACTTGGAGAAAGGAACGATAATGCTGAGAGATTTGAAAATTTACGTGAATTTAACGGAATGTTTACAAGTGGCAGTGTATTTCCGACACAAAACTGCATGGATGTTACGGGATCGTACCACGGTATATCAGATCGCTCATAAATTATTCACAAAATGCCTAAAGGGTCCCCGAAAACACTGTGAAGTACTTTATTCATTCAGCACTAAATGGAGGTTTGTCAGGAACATCTAGAAATTAAAGAGTCATGTCACATTTCTGATTAGATTAGTACTTATCCTGCTATTAACTTTATAATGGTTTCAAAACGTTACAGAAGCCTAAGACTGTCTGATATATCATAAATGCCATAGATGTTTTATACATAAACTAACTCTAATGTAAAACATCCTTTTCACGTTATGCGCTTTTTTTAGGGTTCAACTAGTCGTGTGATTTTAGCCTGTCGTCACTGAGATTCAATAACAGAAAAACAGATGAATGGAACAGTATAAGGGGCTCTTAAATAGGCCAGCTCCATTGAATCCACCGGGTATCAAAGCAGCACTCTCAAACCTTCCCATAGACGTCACCCCAACAACGATCGAAGAAATTAGGATGACCATCAAACAAACCAATTGTGGAAAAGCAAAGGACCTGACAATATACTAGCTGAAGCATTGAAGTAAGACATAGAAGCAATTGAAAACATGCGTTACGTTCTATTCAGAAAGATTTGGGAAGAGGAACGATTACCGGCGGACTGGAAAGGAAGCACCTCATCAAGATAACAAGGGAAGGAGATCTGAGCAAATGTGATAACTACAGAGGCATCACATTACTATCAGTACCGAGAAACGTTTTCAACAGAGTTTTGCTGAATCGGATGAAGGATTCAGTGGACGCTTAACTTTTAGATCAGCAGGCTGGATTCCGTAAGGATTGGTCATGCGCAGACCAAACTGTGTCGCTACGGATCACCGTTTAGCAATTAATCCATTGGAACTTCTCACTACACATCAACTTCCTTGGTTTTGAGAAATCATTTGACTGTATGGATAAAAGAAACTCATGGCAACTTTTACACTATGGTGTACATGAGAAAATCGTCAAACCCATACGAAATTCGCACAAAGCTCTTCAGTGCAAAGCCATGCATAGAGGACATCTAGGTGATGCATTCTAAGCCTAAAATATCAAACAGAGCACCAAACCAGTCCCACTTTGAGGAGGAGCTCTGGAAGATTTGAAAATTTTCTTGAGCCTGGGTAAAATCATCAATAAATTGTGAGGACCTATTGCTGATGTGAAGGCACGGGTTGTCGAATCAAGGGTAACATTCCTACAACTGATGAACATATGAAATTCAAATCGAATGTTGGACAACGCAAAAACTAGGAGCGTCATTACGAACGTCAGGATATTTCCACTACATTGAGCCAAAACTAACAGAACCACTACAAACACCATCAACGAATTAAAGGTATTTATGTACGGTTGTCTAAACTAGATAACCCAGATCTGTCAGCTGTATGCTGTCAAAAACATCCTACTATGGAAGAAAACTAAGCAGTTTCCAGATGAAAAATAAATTAGGAAAGAACTCTAGAGGCAAATAGGACGTATGTTGCAGAAATCGTCATACTACATCCCGACTCCTGAAAGCAAAAAGGAAAGAGGAATACTCAAGAACACAGTGTTCTGTAAATAGCGGGCAGATATCAAGATAATGAATACCAACCAGTAAAAAACCGGGAAGGAGAACCCAGAACAGAGCTGGTTAGAGATTACTATTCGGCGGCCTATGCTTCTCCAAGTAGGGTAAAAGGAGTAGGAAAATGAGCAAGTCCAATATGATAAGGTTATGTAAAGCAGCGAGCCTATTTAATGGATTGAGTGCTCATGAAAGTTTTCCTATATTAATTCCCTGTAATCCAGATAAGGAATACAGTGTTGAGCAATCATAGTAATATCATATGTGATATATAAGCTAGTGGTCCCCAGAGCCATTCACTAAGTACCTTATTAAATTCGCCCAGACCAAAACAAAAGTAAAATTTAAGACCGTGTGTATTCGTGAATTTATCGTATTGAAATCAGAATTGCGCAGTATGACAGACAAAATTGTGATATTTGGTGTAAACACCATATGAACTCAGTCACAAACTTCACACTAGTTTTCTCAGCTATCCCAAGTTCCTAAAACTCCCTTCGAGTCCCCTTGGTCTAATTCCATCATGATTAAATGGTATCATTTTTGACGGAATTTACATATGTTATCTAATTTGTACATACTCTGCTGAATAATCCATTCAATAACAACGTAAATATAAAATTTCATAGTTCGAGGAACGCACATTTCAGATATTTGACAGTGCAGGCGAAAAATAAAAGACAAAGATAAGCCAGCGTGAACTGTGGTGGTAGTAAGATCCAACTTGGCAGATAATAGGTGACTCAGTCCTTATAAACATGAAAAATATACGAGCACGTATACTATCACGCACATCCACGTAGATTATAAGATAATATAAACTCACCAACAACTACCAAACTGACTTGGATAAGTGTGGTCGGGTGTCCAATCAACCACACAGTGAACATCACCGAAGACCTGTATCCGTGCTGAAACAGCAAGAAGCAAGCTCCAAGAAATCAATCGGTTCATACAAACTCGTGCGTCTGTACATATTGGGAAGCTTAGACAAGAAGAGCTGTCTGAACAGGCCGTCATCCAAGGTCCGTTGACCGATTACCTTTCGAATTCGTAGCAACATTTCTTTTGGTAGGCCATGTTGGAGTTTGAAGTTTGGTAGACTTGACCTAACTTTCTTCGGTAAGTTAGGTCTTCACATATAAGGATAGCCTTCTTCAAAGAGTCGTGATGTTCAGAAAAACCACTAGTAAGCATACTAAGTTCGACTTACCCGTCTAATTAAACCAATTAAGTCAACATCAAATCTCGAAAACTTACAACACTATGTACTTTTGGGTTTATTTATCGCTACGTATTTAATACCATGACAGTCCTATGTGTGTTATTCTAGCTTTTGGTTAGACAACAATATATGTTCATTTTGATTCGTTATTTACACATTTTAATCTTTCCGGTTATCAGCAAATGACCTCAGCTATTTTGTATGAGCTTGTGTATATTACTTACTCCATTCATCCCGAGTCTTGAGCTAATTTTTCTTTATATGATGAATCATGATATATCAAATGGAATTGGTATGCTTGTATTCTTCTGTGTAACTAGTTTTTTATTGCCTACCCATGATCACGGGCATATAGAAGCCAGATATCATGAAACCTGTCTTTTTTACTTCACTGAAAAACCAGCAGAGCTCTTGGATCAGTGATTAAACTCCTTACTATAGCGAGAAATCAAAAACTTATAGAAAAATTAACTAATCACCATCCTTTCAAATAAAACCAGGTGAGATTTATTCTGTCCAGCGTAAAATAACATTAACAGTGTGAAACTGGTATAAATAAGAATATATAAGTCATTTTAATCGTCACAACCTCAGCAAACCTGAGAATTAAACAAAACAGAATGAAGAACAAAATAGAAAACTTCGTGATGCATAAATATGACAAAAATGGCTCATAAACCATCAGAAAATGGCCTTGATCGGTTGTCAGGACAACTAAAGCTTAAATTGCAGATATTGTTTAAGTGAACTTTAAACTAAATTGCAAAGAGTGGCTAATTTGGAATCGAGGCGTGAATATGTTGGTCCTTTTCGAGACAGCTGCAGGTTATGCAGTATTCAAGGTCCATGATGAGAAGGGTGTTCGTGAAATCGACGATTTGGCTAAGGCATTCGAAGATACAGCCACAATGAATCAGCTGTAAGTTAATTTTTTGAGAATACTTCATGCTCCAGTAAGAATCCAGCTTGAGCGCTTTGTCCAGTTCAAAGATACGAAGGATGCATTAGTAGGTAGGTTGACATACATAGAGCGTTTATCATTTGTGTGTTAAATATCAGGCTCCAGTTTAGTCTATTCATCTTTATCAGAAAATATATTGATCAAACTAATGTCTACATTTTTTCTTCTAGCTGCTTCGGACATAATAGAAGGAAAATTGTCTAAGAAATTGAAAAAGCTTTTGAAAAAGTTGTACGTTAAGGAGCTAAGAGACGATGTGCTTGCAGTTGCCGATAAAAAGTTGTCAGTGGATATTAATGTAAGTATGAATACACGTTTAATATGATTTCAGACAAAAATGAGTATACCAACAGTTAGTGATTCTCTAGTGCAAAACCTTATGCGAGGAATCCGGACACACATTGATAACCTCCTTCCTGTTGTTGAAGATAGTCACATGATAAGGATGCGTTTGGGTTTGGCTCACAGTCTCGATAGATATAAACTGAAATGTAACCCAGACAAAATTGATACCATGATAGTTCAAGCAGTCGGTAAATTCACGTATTGTTTTTATTATGTAAGGCCTCATGGACGAGCTAGACAAAGAAATAAACAATTATATAATGCGTGCTAAAGAAATGTACGGGTGGCATTTTCCTGAATTGTCGAAGATAGTTTTGGATAATGTAACATACGTCAAAGTAGTCAAACGAATCGGTAAGTCATTTAGTTTCTGTCATTTCCACAGGTCATAGGGCAAATTCAAGTGTTGATTTATCAGACCTCGTGCCGGATGAAATAGCTAGTCAAATACGAGAGGCCTCTATCGTCTCCCTAGGAACAGAAGTGATCGATGAAGACATTACTATGATCAACGAACTTTGTGATCAGGTACTTGAAGCTTCTGCCTCCCGTACTCAGCTCCACGATTATCTTATCAAGCGAATGGTGGCAGTCGCTCCAAATTTGACAGCTCTTGTCGGGGAACTTCTGGGTGCAAGGCTTATAGCTCGGGCAGGAACACTCGTTAACCTAGCTAAACATCCTGCTTCAACGGTACAGATACTAGGCGCTGAGAAGGCATTATTCCGAGCATTGAAAACACGACATAACACTCCGAAATACGGTCTGTTGTACCATGCCACATTAGTGACACAATCAGATAATCAGTTCAAGGGTAAAATGTCACGAATGTTGGCTGCTAAAGCATCATTATCAGCGCGTCTAGACGCTCTTGGTGAAGAGGGTGCTGACACAGAAATGGGTATACGAGCAAGAGCATACTTAGAAAAGAGACTTCGACAGTTAGAAGCTGGAACTGTAAGTTCAAATTACCTCACTGATTCTTTTCTTAGTTTAACCCAAAATTATCGTCGATTAAGCGGGGAATAAAGTCAGAGGACGGCCAACCGAAGTCGAAGAAGATGAAGGTGGATGAATGAATTATAACAATTATAATGTACATACGTTTCAAAAATATACATTATCAATTTATTTGCTCCTAATGTCCATGGTTATATAATGTAGTCAAGGTTTAATCGAATAACGATTATGTCGACAAAAGTTTCATTACAATAGTTGAAATCATGAGTCAATTGAAGCTAGACCACCATGAATAACCTGGAAGCACTGGACGGCCGTTTCGTCTTAGTATGGGACTCCTCAGCAGGTTTTTCATGGTGGTCTGGCTTCAATCGACTCATGATTTCACCCATTAAAATTACTAAAAATCTCCACAAAACCCCTTCTGATAAAAGTTTCATTGCCCAATTTTCTTATTCAATCTAGTCTAGCATCTGTTCATAATAATTCTCTAAACTTTATGTCCACGTCCTTTCTAAAAGTTATTCGTTTGATGAATGCTCCAATTATTCTTTTAGAGTAGCTCCATAAGTCTTATTAGATTTGTGGCACATTTTGTAGCAGATCAGAACTTTTTAACAGTTTCTATATAATCAGGACATTTTTGATAAAACGCGATATTTTAGTTTGTGTCCTGACGTAGAATTTCAAATTAGTCCCGGCTTTGCCGGATATTTGATTCCAAGTGATCTAAAAGTCTACTTAGTTGATAAAAAATCTGAGTGTTTCGTTGAAAATGATCCCCTATTTCGTAAAAATCCGTTTTGGGTGAATTTCGGGGAAGTTTCAATGGAAACTTAGGCGAAATGGCACAAGAAGCCGAAAAAATTCCTAGGTTTTGTAAAAATTTAGTGTTTTCCCCAATATTTCCACAGAATCTTATAACACTGGGGTTTTTCCACAAACCTTTACCGACTTTTGGGGAAATCCACAAAATAGCGAAATTGTGTCATAGCTCCCCTTTTCGTCTAATTTCGCCCCCAAATGCCCTGGTATGGCCGAGAGTGGGGAGAGTCCACTCTCCCTCTCGAAATGCTCTCACACGGCCACGCGTATATAGCCTCTGCTAGGGAAGTCCTATTCACTGCCTTCTCGTGGCGGGGCTGTTGTTTACAATAATAAGAGGACAAAAAGCGAATGTCCGGCGCTTTAACCGGACCCCAAACCAATGGTGCACATGGGCTGGCTCCAGTATCCTGAAGGAACAAACGGCATATGAACCAATCGTTGGTCACCGGCTACCATGGGATTGCATTTCCTTATGATGCTCCACTGCCTTGTGGATCAGATCTTCAGGTCGAAGGCTCTGGTTGTGGTCCCCTAAGAAAACCACCTGCTTTGGTTTGGGCACCCGGGCAGTATCACAGCCCTCACACATATCCAATGAGATATGTGTGGCGCATATGTATTTGGTGCCTCCCTGTACCTATAAATAAATAAATCGTCCAATTTCACCATTAATGTCTTCTAGATTGCGTCACACTAATTTCTTAGATTTACCATCGATTTATAACATTCAAATATGTTTAATTTAAATAGAGACAGTTCTGTTGCACTGCTGCGAAACGTGGCCTTTAAGAGAAGAGGATACTTTTGCGTTACTAGTATTTGATCACAAATGTCTTAGAAATATTGCTTACATCTGCTGGGATCACCGGGTAAATTATTAGCGAGGTTAGACACAGGGTATTAGGGGATAATAGTGAGTACGTGGATGAGGTTGTACATCGGCTGAAATGGTTGCCTACGTGTTATGTATGTCTGAACACCGTATTACGCGACTTACAACACTGACTAGTGTCGGAAACGCATGGGAGAAAGTTAGGGGCAGCCGAATCAAAGCATCGTCAGTCCCTAGATTCACTAACCTATAATCTTAGTCATTTTGGTAGATGCACACTACTTGGTTGGGGCCCGTGTGGCTCGTAACCAGTGGTTGGTAACTCCGGGTGATATGGCTCAGAATCTGTCACAAGGGCATATGTGTGTGCACTCTTTGTCTTCCCTTACACCGTGACAATGACTTTATACCATTCTTTTTACGAACTGATTCTTTCTTCCTGTACTATATCCTTATATGCAATCTTTCTTTGATACACTACAATTAATATGACTATGAATTCGGTGTTCATCTTGTGCTAATGAGGTGTGGCAACTTGAACCTATGCATATATATGCCTGGTCCTACCTTGTAGCTGACTGACTTAATCTAGAGTCGTGTGATGTTTTTGAGCAACAGTACTAGTATTTTCAGAATGCATTTCTGTCCCTTTGGTTGAGCAGTGCCTATTGATTCGGGTGGAGAGTTGGTGTTACGTATATATAACCACCTCGTACCCTGACGTAAGATGTTGGCTTAGATGCACATCTTACATATTTTCGAACTGTCTTTTCAAACCGTACGCTCGAGGTTTAATCTTCCAGTAATTGTTACTATTCTTTATTGATCTCCTTTGTGACTTTTATCTCTGATATGGCTGCTCATCTACATACTTGTCTGTGCCAGGCTCTATGTTGTTGATATCTACCTGTCCTTTGAATAGCTAACTCTAGTTGATTTTGATAATGCAAAACGAAAAAGTTAGTATAGTTTTTACCCAGTGACCCAAGTAAATCAATGTTTGCAGGTGTGCTGGGGTTTAAAATTCTATAAAAGACTACTGACTTGTCCATTCTTCCAAATAATCTTATAAGCAAACATATTCAGTCTTTAAACCTCGATAAACAATTACAAATAGGGATAAGATAGTGCAGTCTGATCACGCCTGTGATTTTCTCTTCTATTTGATATCACGTCAGATATAGATGGAGCAGTACCAGTATTTATAAGCTTTTCCCATAAATTGTAAGGAATAAACAATCCGATATTTGTATGACTAAATACCTGTAGAACTACATCGAGGAGGAATGTACTAGTACATCGTACTATGTACCACTTAATGCGTGTTTGTATCAGAAAGGACACCCATTGCGTCTTACAGACTACGTTTTGTGGAAATATATGACATAAGTAGTTTATAGTAATACACAATAAATTCTTAGTTCCAAAAAATCCCTTCATTGTAAAGAAGGAATCGGTCCAGTTCCAGCCATACCACATATTAATGGCCTAAGACAGTCATTCTTATATAGCACATTGGTCATGGAGTTTCTCGATGTTTGTGATTAGTTGTTTCATGAAATTCTAGTTTCAAATAAAGGATATCTAATTGCCGTTGATTTTGTAAAGTGTTGAACCCCGATGAGAGTCACACTAGGAAGTCACTAACCTAACATGTATCTACAATGTTCAATCCAATGGAAAGACGGCTTGTTGATATTGTTATTACGAAAACATCAACACAATACTTGAACAAAGTGCATTGGAGCTTTTGTTTATGTACAAAATACCTAACTTAAATGCGATATACAGAGTGATTTATCAAAGATGGAGATCTAAAATACGGTGCAACAAATGACACCTTCATCTTGTAAACTAGCGTTATGAAGAACAGAAACACACTTCCCGTAATACTCACCTGAGTTTTCATGGTCATCGTTACCCATAACGTATATTATTTTACCTACTGTCTTTCGACGTTAAAAACTTCAGTTAAATGCTTACGGATTGGTTTGGGGGGGGAGGTATTCTCAGTTGAGTAGGGAAATGGTGATTTGTGACAAGGTATACAATCGTGTAATTACGAGTTCAGAATAAATTACTTCAGTACATACAGTGATAGTTTAAAGAACCAAGATGAAGAGCTGAACTAATCGAATTCTTCATGAGCTTTTCATTTATACGGGTTTTTATAAAAAATTGTACATTCGCTTTTCAGAACTAGATCACTGAATAAAAAATAAATACCGCTCTAAAGTATGCATTTGTCACATCGTAATACCGAACTTTTGCTTTCCTGGATGTGCTACAAAATTCAGTTTTCATTGATCGACTGTCTCATATTTGCTCGGGCACTCTTCACAAAATGCAGGCGTTTGTTGTCCAATCATAGAATAAGGAGGATCACGTCAGGAGACGTAATGGTTGAAGCACTTAACTACAGTTTAGAGCCTAGAAATGTCTACCTAAAATGAATGCTGGCGCCAATCCTCACTTAATATGTGACACGTTCAAGCAGGCAAAGTATAAAATAAATGATGGGTTGCATTTCGTCATAATTATTATCCCACTGCATTTTCGGAATTTCGTTCGGCCTTTCGTATTAGAATCGTAATCACATAGAAATACCACAGTTTGTTTATTTTAGGGGCAAATGTTATCAGTACACTCGTTATACACAGGATTCAAGAGAAAAACTAGCTGATTGCGGAAATCTAGATACACATACGTTAGTTAATTATGGATTCATTCCTTCCATATAAGCGGTTGTACTAACGGCTCTAGTGCTTCGTGATGTGAGTCAACTAGTGTGTCATACAACTACAAATAGTTATTGGTGCGTCGCCAGTTGGAACGTGCTTCCTAATGTGAATTCTTAAAGGTATCCATACATCAGTTTTAAGCGGTTAGAACGAATATCGCTAACGTAAACAGCAATATTCGTCCTACTAAACGAACCAAGACTGTCATAAATTGGTTCAAAGTAACTGATTTCTTATTCAGTGGTGCTACAATTACATGAATAAAACGATCGACATACGAGGAAATCAGGTCCACCATGAAGGGGAAAGTTAAAACCTCCTTAACCAGCCGATGTCTAATTGATCATTCAGTTCCACAACCCCCAACTATAATGGTGAATCAGATTCTAGTTGGAAACAAATAAATTACCAACACAATAACTGATGTCTAGAACCATCGATTATTACTTTTCCAACCATGAGTATTCGGTTCGTGCATGGCTTTCAAACTGAGTTGTTCTGGTTTGATAAGAGGAAGAGAGAATATATCAGGCTCAAAATCATTTGTATTTTATACATCAAAATTGCTCCACAATATCTGATTTACATTTTGAACGGGAGCTTGAAGACTAAATGCAGGTTCCACACTCACAATATACTGGTATCCGACTTGGTGAATGTCAATCCTAGAATCCATAGTATTGTTGACTGCAATCATATGGCAGTGGACTGTGGTCTTATGACCGTGGCTCACCATTACCCTTAAACCATTGCGAAAGAATTAAGGACATTAACGCTATATCAGTACAATAGCTGTTCATCATTATATATTCAGTGAGCACGTAAACGCATTTAGACCAACTAACTATAACCGACCTGAAATGCACACGCGTCCCACGTTACTTCTGGTCTAACTTGGATGTCAGCAGCATTTGGAACTTAACGATACCCGAAAGTTCATTTATATATAGCATAAAATCTAAAGGATTCGGAACATCCTTTGGACAGTCGTCTAAATACTGGTTATCATGGTGAACATTTGTAATATATTCTTACTTCCTATCCAAGGACTACAATGAAGCCTTATCTAGGTGATACCCAGAAACCACCACCATCAGCACGTAAAATAACCTGCAATATTAAGCATCCACATACGAGTTTCAAAGACCACAACGGACCATTCCAGGACGGCCCTAAAGCGACATTATCACGCCGGACAAACATACGTACGCACGTAAACCTAGATAGGACGACAAGTAATAATAATCGAAGTCAGAGTTATAACATAATTTATTTATACATTATATATTGTTACTCTCTGACAGAAGGTAAACAGAATACTTGCATCTAGATGTACAATTATCCTCCATAATGTTCCTTAGGAATGAGAAATCCATTGCGATTCAGCGACATTAGAGCCGCGCAAAACAGATGAACAAACAGGTTGGTCGTTCCCTTAGTGATAAACATGTAAAACGTCATCGCACTTCATTTCCGGACACGCAGAGGACGTTACGTGTTAAGAGGAAACAAACTGCCATCATTGAACTACTACTAAGCATCGGCCGAGTTACGCTGAAAATGGGAAAAAAACTTGTTAGCCGCATCATAAGTAAGTTGGGTAGTATCAGAGGGAAAATTGACAGTCACATTGAGATATGAGACTCTAGTCCACAGTATCATCATAACATATAGTCAACAAACACATAACACTTACCATGCCAAGCAACAGTAACAGCAAACAAGGAATGCATATATATATACATACTTTGCTAGCCATTCCCGGAACCGCATATTACTCAACGTACTAAAACAAACAGCACGAACCACAGATAAATATGTTCATTATACACTTATCTGTGTGACATATGGTTGTGAATCCCATTGAATTCTGTGTGCTATTCATATAACGTTTTATACTCGTATTCCATTGCAAAATCATAATTCGCAAAAAGCATTGACGTTATCTTGATATACTTATAAATTTCCCAAAATCCTTAAATATTGTACTACGTGAATAGTATTGAAACTATTGTACGCAATTTCATACTTACTGAAACCCGATAGGTTCTTCATAACAAGTAGGTATGAATTGTTGTAGAATAACTCTGGAACTAACTTGAGAAAGTGGTCTCTGTGGATGCATAGGCCGCGGTTGTTTCGTGATCATTTTCGTATTATGTTTATACATTTGCTCTAGATCTACTTGTATCGTTCCGTCTTATCTGCCGGACTAAAGACTTTGTGAAATTTTTAGCGTCTTTTACTTTGTCACAGTATACTTCATGTGTTATATTTATCTACGGATATATTCATTCTTCTTCTTGAGAAATGACCAGATAGTGAAACGGAGGATTGTTTGGTTGTGTATATGGAGAAGGTAAATTCGACTGATGATTCACAGTCGGTTCTCCAAACTTCAGTTGATGCTACACGACTATCTGCTGTCCTTAAATTTCTTCTCATCCCAACAGCATGGTTTCAGGAAGGGTTACTCCTGTATGACGAACCCGCGGTGGACAGATGGACAGGCATCGTTGATCTCAAGGGGAAGGTGGACATCATTTACCTTGATTTCTCTAAAGCTTTTGATAGGGTTAACCACATGTGTCTTATCAACAAGCTCAGACGATTGGGTATCAAGCCACCTCTAATTGACTGGTTCAGTTCATATCCGACAAATCGACATTTTAAGGCCAGAGTAAACTTCAATTTCTCACACGCTATGGAATGTCCTAGTGGGGTTCCCCAGGGCTCAGTACTAGGACCTCTCCTCTTCCTGATTTATGTAAATGATCTTCCTCAACAGGTAACGTCAGACATATGGCTCTTTGCAGATGACGTGAAACTTTGGAGAGAGATACGCAACCAAGAGGATATACAGTCACTTCAGGAGGATCTGACTCGACTTCAAAGTTGGGCAGACGATAACGGACTTACCTTTAACACTTCAAAGTGTAAAGTAGTCCATTTGCGACACGTCGCAGATTACAGTTACAACTTAGGAAACTCCCCTCTAGTAGTATCCCGAGTCGAAAAAGATTTAGGAGTTCTAGTGCCCTACGACTTAAAGTCCTACGCCAACTGTGACAGAAATGCTTTTCCAGCAAACCTTGCACTGGTAACATTGAAGCGCATTTTTGGTCAGTTTGACGGGAGAACTTTCCACATAATCTTCAATAGTTTCATTCGTCCCCATTTAGAGTACGGAAACATAGTATTCCCTCCTACACTCCAAAAGGATAAGGACACTCTGGAGCGTATCCAATGGCCAGCCACGAAATCAGTTCGGAGGCTCAAATTTAAACCTTACGATGAGCGCCTCCAATCACTCGACCTATACCCATTAGATTATAGGCGTCTCAGAGGTGACCTTCTAATGGCTTACAGTTTCATTAACACTTCTGGGCATCCTCTTAAACACCTACTTCAGCTTAGTCCCAACACTAACGTAAGGGGTAACACCCAGAACTTAGAGATACAACATAGTAGAACGGACTGCAGGCACAACTTTTACTCCTTACGAGTTGTCAAATGCTGGAATTCGCTGCCAGCTGAGCTAGTTTAAGCAACTCCCTAGGAGTCTTTTAAGAGGCGACTTGATCTATTCTTAAGGACTAAGGATAGTATCTTACTATGATTTACCAATTCATTTTTTTCTCTTTTATCGTTAATATACCTAGGTTCTTGCCTGGAGGTATTGGTGATCCCCTGCTACTAGACAAGGAAGCCTGTTAAGCGAAAGCTTCTTCTATTCCGTCCAAAACCATTTGAACCATTAGAATCATTTGAACATTTGAGGTGTTGCGGTCGGTACGTCTATTGCGCTACAAGTGTGTTTTTCATGAGCTTTGTTGTTTTTATAGTTGCATTTACTTCTGGGCACACCATGGAGTAAGTTTCCAAAACGGAATGACGTTTTGCTATTTGGACCGATGCATATATATGCCTTGTCTTACGTTGTAGCTGACTGACTAACAGGCTATCAAAAGTAGAGTTGGCGGAGCCTTATATACGAGAACGTTGGGTATTAATGACAAAGTTTCTAGCCTAAACTTATCAGCATCCTGCAGTACGATAATTGCGTAATCTACAATCATAGGCTAGTTTCAGTCGGTCAGTTGTAAAACCCGACGCAAATATCTGTCAGACCTTCAAGCCGAAGGCTCCGGGCATGCCCCCCTAAGAGAACCATCTGTTTCGGTCTGGGAACCCGGGAAGTATCACAACCCACGCACGAATCAAGTGACTTGTGTGGCGCATATGTATTCGGTGCCCCTTTGTACCAATATTTATGTGTTCACATAAATAAATATCCGTCAAGCTGAGTTCCTATACAGCATTAACATATCAAAAAATCATATGAGTTTTAAGAGAGCAAAAATAATAGTAGCAATAACAGCGTGAAAGAATAAACATTAGTTAATGCAGTTTGTAGGAGAGGAGTTTGAGGAATAAAATATGAGAAGTAGCTTTAAAGCTAAAGACTCGGGAAAAAATAAAGTGAGTGTACCTGCTCGATTATGACTGATTCTGAGCCACGTCCCACCGAATACGATGCTACATGTATAACGGGGTAAGTGACGTATCGAGTTGTTTGGTTCTGGACTATACATTAACTTGCAACTACCTTTCGTCATAGGTAATATAACTTGCATATGACACACTGGATCGATTCATTAAACTGAGTAGGCATTTGCTGTTCCAAATGGTAACGAGTTTTCAGTTATACTTTCGGAATTTGGTTTAGTCACTTTATGAATGATAATATACCCATATTTCTTTCCTAATAATTCCTCAGCTTAAAGATCATGCTTTGAAGTTTGACAGATTATGCAATTTTCCTTAAGCTTTAATTAGTTGCTTCTAGTTATTGTTCATAAATTTGAAAATCTTTGAATGAGTATCCAGGATATACCATTTACTTCATATATCTCGACTGTTGTTTTATGAAGAGCATCCAAAATACATCACCTTCCAAGATTTCCGGTTTAAAAAATGTTCGTTGTAATTTGGAATGAAGTTACGCATTAGTCTATTTCAGGTTCTGCGTAATAATTTATTGTCGGGAACTTCTGAACTCTGATATTCCAAAAACAATAGCCAGAAGACTTGAAATTTTCCACAATTTAGTTTGCCACATCGACTTTACAAAATAGCGTAATGAACCAATGTGGCCACTATAATGCTGTTTATATTCTATTTCTACCCCAACGGTCATTCTGGTGCATAATCTCATTAGTACTTGTCAATCTCACGCACATTGACCATGCTTCGATGTCTAATTATGCAGTACTGACAGTATTTTTGCTTTTTCTATTCCCAACAGTCCTAGTACCACGAGGAGAAAGACAGCTGTGATAAATACCATACTTTAAATGAGCATTTAGATAACCACGAGTCTAAATTCATTCAAGTTTGGAAAGGACAAATAGCTTTTCTGTGTCGAGATCATCATCAATCCATTCCAACCGAGTCAACATATTAGGTAAGCAGGTTTGTTAGATCATTTACTTATTTATAAACCACAGATATATGTTTAGCAGACTGATAGCACATCCCGTAAATTCTCAAGTAAGCTTAATTCTCCCACCATATCACCATAGATGACCTGTTACCCAGTAACGTCAAAAATAACGTTATTAGAGAAGGGATTAAAAAAGACATTCGAGCAATAAAAAATCCAGTCAAATTCCATCCCAGCAGAACAAGTTGTTCACTTGTAGAGAAGTTTCAATACCTCACTTATGGAAGTATGTGCTAATGAGGTTGCCTGGAAAGACAGTAAAATCTTCACTATTAGACCATCGAGGTCAGACAACACGCCATCTCTTGACCTTCTTCCTGGGGAACAAGCCTTCACTATAATCTTATCGGCAATTAAAATCCAGTATACCCATGCGTGGTTGTTTTCTCAACTATGTTTAATACCAGTATGATACAAACTAATTAACTTATGAGAGATTTCAACACTAGATATCTTGACGTTTACAAGTTGAATAAGTGTTCACTATACTTAGAAATAAATCTTTGGAGTTTGCGTCATTTTTGGAACAGTTTTTGGCGAGACTAATTTATGGACGAACCAATCAGATTTACGATAACAGATCTTGAATTCACTCATTCGTTTGGTTAAATAGAGTTTTGGCATTATAGATTATGTCAGTTTGTGATGAAAACCCTATATCTGATTCCTAACCCTAACCACCAACTGTAAATATTAATCCTAACTCCTCACGCTGGTTTATAACCCTCATTTAGCCGTAGTATGTAGGTGGACATTCTTAAGGTCTCTTTAGCGTCTCTCAAAGGTCGTCCATAGATTATAGTTTCACCCAGTTTTTAGTTTTCCTGAAAAAGTCTTTTGGTTGTTCCCATAAATCTCGTGTACATAATATTACCCCGAAACTGTCTATTTTCACCGCTTTTTTGACAGAAAGGGAGAAAAGTTAGGCGAAACAAATCGTAACATTTGGCCACTCGAAGTGAAACTCACTTCGTCCATTCGATTAAAATCTACTCACAAATCTGTAACCAATGCAAAAGTTCACTTTGGTGACATATGATATTGTATAATTTGGAGCTGCAGCTCAGTCAGTAACGTAGAGCTTCGTACGTACGTACATCAGTTCGAGTTGCTATACCACATTAGCACAGAGATGCAGTTGTCGATTCAAATTCCGTAGTGCTAGAGTTAGTAGAAGTATAAGCAGTAATCAGAAAGATTAGGGTTTGAAGATGTTATTCAAAAAGTATAATTCAGTGAAGCATGTTTGGGAAGACAAAATGAAATGAAGAATACGGAAGATTAGAATTTGGGAGAACACAAAGGTCTCCTTTGTTACTTTTATCTCTGATATGGCTGCTCATCTACATACTTGTCTGTGCCAGGCTCTATGTTGTTGATATCTACCTGTCCTTTGAATAGCTAACTCTAGTTGATTTTGATAATGCAAAACGAAAAAGTTAGTATAGTTTTTACCCAGTGACCCAAGTAAATCAATGTTTGCAGGTGTGCTGGGGTTTAAAATTCTATAAAAGACTACTGACTTGTCCATTCTTCCAAATAATCTTATAAGCAAACATATTCAGTCTTTAAACCTCGATAAACAATTACAAATAGGGATAAGATAGTGCAGTCTGATCACGCCTGTGATTTTCTCTTCTATTTGATATCACGTCAGATATAGATGGAGCAGTACCAGTATTTATAAGCTTTTCCCATAAATTGTAAGGAATAAACAATCCGATATTTGTATGACTAAATACCTGTAGAACTACATCGAGGAGGAATGTACTAGTACATCGTACTATGTACCACTTAATGCGTGTTTGTATCGGAAAGGACACCCATTGCGTCTTACAGACTACGTTTTGTGGAAATATATGACATAAGTAGTTTATAGTAATACACAATAAATTCTTAGTTCCAAAAAATCCCTTCATTGTAAAGAAGGAATCGGTCCAGTTCCAGCCATACCACATATTAATGGCCTAAGACAGTCATTCTTATATAGCACATTGGTCATGGAGTTTCTCGATGTTTGTGATTAGTTGTTTCATGAAATTCTAGTTTCAAATAAAGGATATCTAATTGCCGTTGATTTTGTAAAGTGTTGAACCCCGATGAGAGTCACACTAGGAAGTCACTAACCTAACATGTATCTACAATGTTCAATCCAATGGAAAGACGGCTTGTTGATATTGTTATTACGAAAACATCAACACAATACTTGAACAAAGTGCATTGGAGCTTTTGTTTATGTACAAAATACCTAACTTAAATGCGATATACAGAGTGATTTATCAAAGATGGAGATCTAAAATACGGTGCAACAAATGACACCTTCATCTTGTAAACTAGCGTTATGAAGAACAGAAACACACTTCCCGTAATACTCACCTGAGTTTTCATGGTCATCGTTACCCATAACGTATATTATTTTACCTACTGTCTTTCGACGTTAAAAACTTCAGTTAAATGCTTACGGATTGGTTTGGGGGGGGAGGTATTCTCAGTTGAGTAGGGAAATGGTGATTTGTGACAAGGTATACAATCGTGTAATTACGAGTTCAGAATAAATTACTTCAGTACATACAGTGATAGTTTAAAGAACCAAGATGAAGAGCTGAACTAATCGAATTCTTCATGAGCTTTTCATTTATACGGGTTTTTTATAAAAAATTGTACATTCGCTTTTCAGAACTAGATCACTGAATAAAAAATAAATACCGCTCTAAAGTATGCATTTGTCACATCGTAATACCGAACTTTTGCTTTCCTGGATGTGCTACAAAATTCAGTTTTCATTGATCGACTGTCTCATATTTGCTCGGGCACTCTTCACAAAATGCAGGCGTTTGTTGTCCAATCATAGAATAAGGAGGATCACGTCAGGAGACGTAATGGTTGAAGCACTTAACTACAGTTTAGAGCCTAGAAATGTCTACCTAAAATGAATGCTGGCGCCAATCCTCACTTAATATGTGACACGTTCAAGCAGGCAAAGTATAAAATAAATGATGGGTTGCATTTCGTCATAATTATTATCCCACTGCATTTTCGGAATTTCGTTCGGCCTTTCGTATTAGAATCGTAATCACATAGAAATACCACAGTTTGTTTATTTTAGGGGCAAATGTTATCAGTACACTCGTTATACACAGGATTCAAGAGAAAAACTAGCTGATTGCGGAAATCTAGATACACATACGTTAGTTAATTATGGATTCATTCCTTCCATATAAGCGGTTGTACTAACGGCTCTAGTGCTTCGTGATGTGAGTCAACTAGTGTGTCATACAACTACAAATAGTTATTGGTGCGTCGCCAGTTGGAACGTGCTTCCTAATGTGAATTCTTAAAGGTATCCATACATCAGTTTTAAGCGGTTAGAACGAATATCGCTAACGTAAACAGCAATATTCGTCCTACTAAACGAACCAAGACTGTCATAAATTGGTTCAAAGTAACTGATTTCTTATTCAGTGGTGCTACAATTACATGAATAAAACGATCGACATACGAGGAAATCAGGTCCACCATGAAGGGGAAAGTTAAAACCTCCTTAACCAGCCGATGTCTAATTGATCATTCAGTTCCACAACCCCCAACTATAATGGTGAATCAGATTCTAGTTGGAAACAAATAAATTACCAACACAATAACTGATGTCTAGAACCATCGATTATTACTTTTCCAACCATGAGTATTCGGTTCGTGCATGGCTTTCAAACTGAGTTGTTCTGGTTTGATAAGAGGAAGAGAGAATATATCAGGCTCAAAATCATTTGTATTTTATACATCAAAATTGCTCCACAATATCTGATTTACATTTTGAACGGGAGCTTGAAGACTAAATGCAGGTTCCACACTCACAATATACTGGTATCCGACTTGGTGAATGTCAATCCTAGAATCCATAGTATTGTTGACTGCAATCATATGGCAGTGGACTGTGGTCTTATGACCGTGGCTCACCATTACCCTTAAACCATTGCGAAAGAATTAAGGACATTAACGCTATATCAGTACAATAGCTGTTCATCATTATATATTCAGTGAGCACGTAAACGCATTTAGACCAACTAACTATAACCGACCTGAAATGCACACGCGTCCCACGTTACTTCTGGTCTAACTTGGATGTCAGCAGCATTTGGAACTTAACGATACCCGAAAGTTCATTTATATATAGCATAAAATCTAAAGGATTCGGAACATCCTTTGGACAGTCGTCTAAATACTGGTTATCATGGTGAACATTTGTAATATATTCTTACTTCCTATCCAAGGACTACAATGAAGCCTTATCTAGGTGATACCCAGAAACCACCACCATCAGCACGTAAAATAACCTGCAATATTAAGCATCCACATACGAGTTTCAAAGACCACAACGGACCATTCCAGGACGGCCCTAAAGCGACATTATCACGCCGGACAAACATACGTACGCACGTAAACCTAGATAGGACGACAAGTAATAATAATCGAAGTCAGAGTTATAACATAATTTATTTATACATTATATATTGTTACTCTCTGACAGAAGGTAAACAGAATACTTGCATCTAGATGTACAATTATCCTCCATAATGTTCCTTAGGAATGAGAAATCCATTGCGATTCAGCGACATTAGAGCCGCGCAAAACAGATGAACAAACAGGTTGGTCGTTCCCTTAGTGATAAACATGTAAAACGTCATCGCACTTCATTTCCGGACACGCAGAGGACGTTACGTGTTAAGAGGAAACAAACTGCCATCATTGAACTACTACTAAGCATCGGCCGAGTTACGCTGAAAATGGGAAAAAAACTTGTTAGCCGCATCATAAGTAAGTTGGGTAGTATCAGAGGGAAAATTGACAGTCACATTGAGATATGAGACTCTAGTCCACAGTATCATCATAACATATAGTCAACAAACACATAACACTTACCATGCCAAGCAACAGTAACAGCAAACAAGGAATGCATATATATA